ACAAATCAAGTACAAAAGCCACTTCAGAGAAGGAGCATTTTTATTGTCATTCTTATTAGTGCTAACCATTGTGAAGACTGAAAAAAAAAAAAAGTGGTTGCTCTGACGTAAAGCTAGTTCGGGTTAATTGTACCTGTCTGCCCCCACACTCAGTGCTGCAAAAGCAAAAGAATTTATTGGATGGACCCTCCAAGCCCTCTCTCTGCTTCACATGGAGCTTAACCTTTCTTGGAAGTAGAAACAGAGCAGTAAAGGATAAGCAGAGAGAGGCACTGAACTTAGCTTTTTGCTGCTCTCTCTGCCTGGGCTGAATGTCCCTCATTCTGATTCAGGAATACGTTAAATTCTGAGGAAAGATCAATTTTTTTCTGAAGTAAACTCTTTCTCTTCTTCCTCCCTTTTTCACCTCTGCCTACCCATTTTTCTCTTGTCAGTCAATGAGAGGAAACAGAATTTGCATTTTGAGCACAGGAATGGGAGGAAAAGAAAAGCTGAAGAATCTCTAAGTGCTTAGATTCTATAAAAGCTAAGTCCTCGTGAGACTACAGTTTATGGCTAAGTGCTAGGTTTTTTTAATTGAAGGTAAACTTTGTATTGCTGATGTGTGAAGATGTGTTATATAGAAAACAGGAAAAACTTAACCCAGAACACAAGAGCAAAATAGTACAAGAACCTTAAAAAGATCAATATAGAAATTGGAAGAAAAGGAAGACCTTGCAACTTGAGACAAAAAACCACACAGACACTTGTATGATACTGAGCAAATACAGCATCATTAGCATAACAGTGAAAACAAGATTGCAGGAGTAAAGTCTGCTACTGATCATTTTAGCTGTTTGGAAATCCTTGGGATTGACTTGCAATGTGAGAAAGTTCACTTTTGTGGAAGCTAAGAGAGCTCAGCACCTTGTTTACACGAGGTTATAAGGGAAACGTGACACTAGAACAGTGTTTGTGACTATAGATTTGTTTCTATATATTTTATATTTTTGTATTTTTGTATTTTATGCTTTCTTGATGCCTTTGATACTTTAAATCAATGATTAAAATTAAAAGTTCCAAGAAAGTAAATCTAAAGTAATTTTATAATTCATATTCATTAAAAGACTTATGGCACAAAAACATTCTTTATATGATACTCAGTAGAACAAGTTCAAAAGGAATTATTGTAAAAGAAATATTTAATTTCTCTAGTGCTACATAAACATTACTGTGATGCTGCTCATGATTTTAAAACCTGAATTCCCTTTCTCCTCATAATTCTATTGCTGAATGTCTATAATGCAGTAGTTTTCAAACATAGCAAATTATATCACAGGTTTTGAAACATGACATAGTCCAAATGAGACTAGGAATCCAAGGCAGGTTGTACCGAGGTCAATTTAGACAGTCCTACTCAGCTGTCTATAAAACCCTTGGGAGAGATCATTATATTAATTTCCATTTGTAGTCTAGCCTAAGGAAACCGTGCAAATCTGCAGAGATGTCTTCATCTTTATCATTATCTTATTGCCAGGTATTTTAACCCATGTTTTCACAAAATGTCTCTAGCTGTATCTATTCAGTCTTGGAGGCCACTGATTCTTGGTTTCTCTGTCTCACGTAGTTCTTGAACTATGCTCAAGAAGCATTAGAGACTAGGAGATTAGGGAGAAGTAAAGTTTTTTTCACCAAGTCAGTTTTCACAGGTTCACATGGCTCTGCACAGACATGATTCTGAGATTCATGACAGACACTTTTGAAGAATGTGTCATTGCAGGCTCTCCATACGTTGTTCCTCCCTTCCTGTCACACTGAGAACTCTCTGAAGAAATGGAGTATTTTTCCGATACAACACTTAACAGCATTCCCAGACAGCCTTTTCAGAGATAAAGCTATAGGCCACTCATCTTCTTTCAAGTGCTTTTCCTGAAGATTTTTGTTTCAAAAGTTTTGAACCTATTCATTAAAGATCTCTGTTTTTTGCTAAAGAATTGTACCAGAAAAGAAAATCTCTTTTGTTCCAAGAAATATGAATATTCTGGATAATTTTTTTTACCAGAAACTGTCAGAACAGTGCTATTATATCTGACCCTTAAAAAACCAGGCTGAACGCTGCCAACTAGGAATGCTCAGGAAAAACATTTAATATGACATTGGAGGAGGGGAACATACCAGATTTATGGTATAAAGCTGTCAGCAAAGGACTGCCAGTAAAAAGATGACCCTCTTTTACAGGCTTTTCAAATTTTGAAGATTATGCAGGGAGAAGTATGGAGGACAGTGCTCCTAGCTAGTTTCAGAAAGTTCAGTCAAATGGATTAACAAATCACTGGAATGCTCCAGCTATTATGCAGCAGTGTAGTACATACCATCAGGGAAGAGACAGTTTTCTCGCCAGTGGCTGAATTCAGCACAAAAATATGTTCAATTCTCTGTACTACATGAACTTAGACTATTCCACCTTTGGAGTTTTGAATAATGTGAAATCATTGAAATTGCACCTTGCTTTACATCTTATAAATTTATCTGTTATTATTTATTGCTTTCTTTCTGAAGCAGGAAAAGTTTGTTTCCTGAATGAAACTATATTTTTTTTTTCACTTTCTATATGGCATAATAGAAGTGAAAAAAAATGCAATCATTTTAGCCTTCTAAAGAATAAGTAAGTACATGATTTGGGCTTATCCACCATGTATTACTTGGTAAAAGGAAGGCACTAACTGAAGTGTGAGTTATGAACATTCTCAATGTGTTTTTTTCCTTTATAGATAACAAGATATGGACCACCTGAACCCCAGGCCAAAAACTAAAATAAAGACTGCTCAAATGCTTGACCTCACATGGAACCTGAGACATGAAATTACCTGCCTTCTGAATTATATTGCCACAGATTATCACAGAGAACGCCAGGATCTGGGGCAACTGTAGAAAACTCATCTACTCTAGCTTCCAAACTCTCTTTTTAAATCCATTCTTACCTAAATTGTAATCTTTAGAAGAAAAAATCTGCAAGCCAGAAAATTAACAAAACAGGAAATCAACAAAAAAAAATCTACTTTGTCTGAAGTACAAACAAATTTCTTCTATTAAATGAAATGCAATGGTCAAAGAAGTATTTGTCAGAGAAGTTAAGGCCTGTGATTTATGGACTAGCTGTCATGTAATACAAGATGGAAGCTTTAAAATTTTACCAGATCTGGTAGGAATTTTAAAAGTTAAAAATAATTAACTAATTCAATTTGAAGAGTATTATGAACTAATGTACACACATAGGGATCAAAGGTCATGTCTGTGTGTCTGTTAGAAATGTCCATATATTGAACATGAATAAATAATTCAGTCTGGCCTCAGGAGACTCAAGGTTTAAAATCAATTATTACAAAGATTTGTTGTTGCTGTTGGTTTGCATATAATGATAAAAATGCTACCCTTCTGTATCTTTAGATTAGGTTTTCTTTACATCTTTAAAGTTAGTTTAAATCTCTCACCTTGACTATGTATCATTTTATCACCTGCCACAAAGTTCTTCCACATCAGCATTTTATTGTCTATTAAAATACACTCTGTAATAACTTGTAGTGTAAACCATTCCTAGACTTCCTGGCAGTCAGGTTCCCAATGAAAAGTTCTTGACATGATCAGAAAAGGTGAAGAAAAACACCCCAAGCAAACAGATAATAAAGGTGGATATATTCAGATATCTATGTTATCTTTTCTAGATAAATCACTGATTAAACAGTAACTAAGCTTAAGAACTGACTTAAAAGTCATATTGCTGAAATTGTTCTGGATTTCTTTTAAGAAAACAGCATTTCAGATTCTTGTGAAAAGAACAGGAGCAAGATGAGAGAAACACTTCCAAACTTGGGGATGTGACACATTAGAATTCCAAAGCAGACACTGATCAGTATTAAGCAATGAGATTTCATTTGAAGATCTCATGTAAAATTAATTTTCATAATTCTCTTAGTTCCTGTCTACATGTAGAGATTTTTTTTCTCATTATCTACTTTATTACCATACTTGAATTCTCCTCCTCTATGTCTGAGAAGAAAAGACGAGAGAGAGGTATTTTACTATAACTCAATGAAAAATGCACTCTCAAATCTCAAACCACTGGTCCCATGAACTGAAGCACAGTTTCCTTTAAAAACATTACCATGTCATAGAAAAGGGGACAAAGTATTAACTGTTCCACTGAATAATCAATTGAAGTGAAATTACTGCTAAAGTTATGTAGTTATGTTGGAATGTAATATTTAAAGTGCTTCTTATGAAATGAGATTTCCCAGTTAAAGTTCACAATTCAGTTTGACACATTCTTCCAATAGTATATTTAGAATATAGACTGAGAGATAATGCCATCAGCAGTGACCCATTAGCTCCACATCAACAAGCAAATTCAGCAGTCACCCCTACTAAATACACCTGAGTTCTTCATTTAAGTACTGGGAACTGTCTGACTGCTTAGCTAGCAAGATTTAACAAGATTACAGCCCAAGGAAGGATGGCTACAGGCTGTTGTCACATTCATTCTGACTCATATTCATAATCTGCTGATCTATTTTACAGTCATGATATGCAAAGGGGAAAAACCCCACAGATTTTACTTTTCTGCCAGCTTTATAGCTAAAGAAGAAGAAACAGGATCTGTAAAAGAAGTTTATGTCACTACTTCATCAGGCTGGGAGGCTCAGGGGAGCAAGAAGCCATGTGTAATCCATATCATATGTAGGTTATATGAGCAAGGTGCTGACCATAAGGGAAATTTGAATGTCTTTGGCAAACCATCCTTGTCCCATTCCCTAAGGCTAGCAACGTGTTATCAATGGGCAACCAGACTTCTAAGTAAGATAAATATGAGCATGAGCATGGCTTCTTTTGCTCAAGTGCTTTTATTTTCATTTCACTTTGAAAGAGGCATATGAAATTGGAATATCATGGCTAACTGATGCTGTTTAAACACACATTTTCTCAGTGGGAAATCACAACCAATTTCATAGATGGTCATATAAGATTTGCCATATCCGAAGACATACTAACCCAAGTTATTAAAACAAAAGGTAAACCCCAATCTGAACAATCTAAAATCTCAGGAGTATTGGAGACAGGGGTCAATCAAAACAGCATTAGTTTCCAAAAAGTTACTTGGATTATCCATCTCTCTCTGATCCTTAATCATAAATATCACCAAAATACACATAACTATATGCATATCTGTATATTTATGTGATATCAGGATTCAAAATACAGGAGGGACAGAGAGAGGCAGACAGTACAGTTTTGTTATGTTTAATTTTTTTCTTATGGTCCCCAGTTAAATCACAAGAGAATTAATAAATACATGGAGGTAAAGTGACAAGATGACAAATGTACTCATTGTCTGTCTATATTCCAGAGTGCTTAAATTTTATCCGTATGAGTTTCCAAACTCAGAAAAGACCATGAACTCAGGATTCTTTGTTACTGCTGCCTACACTGAAGTAGTGACACAGGCATGAAGTTTCAAATCTTCATATGATATAAGTTGGACTTGGAAATGATAGATGAGACATTTATTGATGAAACTGCAATTACTTACTATTCACTTTTTTAGTCACATGAGTCTTATGTGATTATTCAAAAATCTAACAGATTTTGAAAGCTCTAGTCCACATCATACATGTGGGTATGCAGGATATGTTTCTTCTCAGGAAGGTAAAAAGCAGGCACACACAGTGGGATCTAAAAACATTTCTCAAACCTAGATACACTCCAGGTCATTATTTCTGGCCTAGGAAATTCCGTGTGACCTCAGACAGACATACAAAGCCACTGCCAGGAAAGTGAAGGGTGCCCATCACATCCACAGAAATTGGCTAAAGCAGTGGAAGCAGAAAGGAAACAGATTTAGATATCAATTCAGCAAATTTACTTGGCAGCATCTGATAGCAGGCATTCTGTGAACCCCAAATGGATTTTGAAAGCATCCACAGTTGAATGTGGATGTTTCCTCCAGTGTGGCAACACTTGTCGACAGTGAAGGGAACCAATTTCACTTTTTTTGTAGAAAAATAATAAATTGCATTTAGTGTGTGGATCTCCATGGCTCTGGTGAAGAGGGCAGCACTGAGGCCACACTTGGAAACACACTTCAAATGTCAGATTTCAAGACTATTTAGCATTTCCCCTAATTTTTGGAAAATATCTATTTGTCCTAGACATACGTGAAACTCCCAGTCAGTGAATATGCCCTTCAGTGAATAAGGGGAAAAAACACCCCCAGCTTAATTGTTTCACAGATATCTGAGGAAAGTAAGCACATTATACTACATTTGGCCCACCTACAAGGCTAGTTCTTCCTTGAAAAAACGTTTAAAAGTACTACGTGGTACTTCAGAGGAGAAAAAGCTTTCTATCTGAGGAGAAATGTCACATATTGATATGCCCCGAGAACCTCTGGAAGCAAATATCCTTTACATATAGTACTGTATAGATGAAGAAAAGTATTTTCTACCAACTTTTTAGGTGCATAAGTGACTGAATGTGGAAGTTTTGTGGTCAAGCTTTGAGTAAATTAGGTTCTCTTTTTTCATGCAGCATAATACTGTCAACATTTAGGCTGCTGCATGCGGGAGGAGGATTCCTGCCTTTCCAAGCTGGCACCCTTGCCTTTCAGCACACGCTCTGCTTCACTGACATTCATCAGATGCAGGAAGAGATAGATCATCTGAAGAAGCTGAGACAAATATTTGATTTGGATGATTATCCTGCAGGTGTCTCATCATCACCACGATGCTTGGAATTACTAATTATTTGCCTTCCATTTATGTGTATCTTGCCATGAACACTTATTATGCCATAGTTAGTTCGGACTACTCTGATCAGTGTGACCCTTTGACCACTCTTTTCAAGGAGAGCCCACTAATGTGCTGGAGGAGAGAAGAAATGCTACAGGTGATCCCAACAGAAGGCTTAGTTCATATCCTTTCCTATCAGTTCTTTCACTCTAATGGAATACTACTTAGGTAATCATAATGAGATATCTATCAGTTTTCCTCAGTCCATTTCAGTGAGCCTTACACCCACATGTATCTAGCATTATCAGCTCCTAAAGCTGTGCACAAATATAAATAAACAAATAAATAAATCAGGTGTCTGCACAGGTATTATTATTTTTTAAAGCTGTTGACAGTATGAAGTATTGTTTAATTGTCCACATTCCTTGCCTGGACTGTATGCTATCACTTAGATTCTAGCCTGACCCTTCACAAAGATTGAAGAGGATGCAATTTTGTGTTCAGTAATGAAAATAATTTTTTATCGCAATACTTGCCACAACCTGCTTTTCTTCTAGGTGACACTGAAAGCAAGATAGGAACCTTAAAAAAATTAATACCTTAATGGTATTCAAACAGCTTACCATGTATGATTTTTTGGATTGATTTCTGCAAAAATAAGAAGGTATTTTTCTGTATTTATGGAATGTCTGAGTACAACTAGAGCTAGAAAACCAAACTGTTAATACCTCATCCCATTACAAAATCAAGTTAAATTTCAAATGACAGAAATGAATTGTGCCAAATCAGTCTTTTTTCCATTAGAAAATATACACTATGCCATTGAACAGTGGTGAAGGAGACAATGTTTCACACTCATCAAAATTAAAATATCTTCTAACATTAATTGATATTTCCTAGGTAATATTCTGTTCTATAAAGGTTCTTATTGTTTTGTTGCTCAGCTCAGAACAAAAACAGTTTTGAGATATCAGGCAGTCCCCACAGGAGGAAAGAAGTGTTTTTTCAGTCACTTCTGCAAATTACATTTGGGAGAATGCAATACTGTTCATATTTCTGTGGATGTCTCTGCACAAGTTTTACAGGCAGGAATTTTTTTTTTACAGAGTAGTGACACATTATGTGATTATGCCTATGTGTATAATTAGGTGGTTACAGTATAGACATATTACTGCTTTCTAATGGCAGCAGCAGAAGCCTCTTTGCCAGGAATTGAAAGTGTTTCACTTCAGCAATTAGAAAAGCACTGTACATGACTCTGTATTCAGACTTTACATGTGCTCCAATCAGGTTATTTGAGAGATACCAGAGTTATAAGGTAAGCTGTTGGTTTCTCAGCAGCCCACCTAATATCCAAAATTATATGCTTAGACAGTTAATACATGAGGGTTTGTGTTCAATTTGTCATGAATATGGGCATGACGCAGGCAAGAACACATATCCCTTAGTAGGCCCCGGCAGAGGAAGAGCAGGCAGCAACTTTTTTTCTGAGTAGGCACTAAGTGTCAAGCGTGATAAGGGTGCTTGGGGCATGCCCTCCCCTATTTACGGGCTGCTCTTGTTGTGCCTGGCTATCTGTCCAACTGCTCTGAACCCGTACCACTTCACTTGCTGTAGTTGGCACTCTGTTAGAGGGACTTCTGAAATGCTGCCTCTTCTGCTACCCCTGTGCTACTTTTCTTGTGAAGACAGCTGGAACATGGCCAGTCAAAAAGTTAGAGCAGTAGCAAGTCTGACTTGAAGTATCAGGACTGTGAGTGTGGAAAAAATTGATATTTCTTCCTGCAACAAAAGACAGGGAAAAGACTAATTAGCTATACAAAACTTCCTCAGAAAAAGGGGTCAAGAACACATGTTATTGTGCATTCCTGGGACACAACCTCCAGCCTCCAGCCTGGAGGGAAGTGGTAACATCATAGCTGCAAAATACAGTCTTGATGAGATAACTTGAAGGCCCTCTGCTGTACAAAAAAAACAACAAAACCAAACCCTACAAAAAACTCAAAACAAACAAAAAAAAAATTAAATCAAGCAATGATTTACCTTTCTATCTAAACTAGAGTAGGATGTGTAGTTGATTCTGAAACCTTTCAAATTTAGCAGCAGGTCCTGGAAACAATTTATTTGGTGCTAAAAAGAGATAATAAACCTTGCCAGTAGCGTAGCTAAAAGACAGACAATTCCTTCCTCAAGCTTGTTTTGAGATACAACCTAGGTCCACCAGATGTAGCTTGAAAGGACACCTAGGATTAAAGCATATTTGTTGACTGAGTCGCCAAAGGCAATCCATAATGAAAGTCAGTAGAAAAAAAGAAATAACACACTGCTGTTTGGGATAATGATTCAAGGTGGACATGAATCAGACTGAATTCCATAATTTTAAGCATGGAAATGTCCATTTGGCTAGAGAACTTCTTTCCATAGACAGTAATGTAGTAGAGACTAGAAGGCAGATGTTTCCAGGCTCAGTAATGCAAAGTGACCACTATTAATTAATCAGTGTTATTGCATTTAATAGGTTTTAAACTGCTCAAATACTTACATCTCAATACTTCTGCACCCTGTTTAAGCAGCAGAGAGATTGGAAGCACAGTAGGGGGTACAGAAACAAGTCCTTACTCTTGGCAGGGACAGGTTTCTGGTAGTTTGACTCCTTCCTACTGTCTGCCAGGCCCTGGGGCAGAGGGTGCTAGGTAATGCTGCAAACAGCAGAAATACTGGAGGCACTGTCACTCACAAGCAACCCTAACTTCCCTGACAGGAGAGGCAAAACTGCATTTTCCCATCTATTGCAGGGAATAAATAACCCATAGCTTCTCTTCACCTCCGACACAGCTCCAGCTGCTCAATTTCCTTGGACACAGACCTGGGCAGCCCCAGCTGTGCACAGCCCTCTGGATGTGGCCCAGACACAGAAAGCAGACCTTGACCGAATGGAATTTGGTCAAGGATTTTGCTAAGGATCAACTCATGTATCAAAGGGATAAGGAGAAGGACTAGCCAGGGTTTACAGTAGGTTTAGATTTTCTTCTGTGCTCTTGCTCTAGGAAGACAGCTTAAGTACCATCTAAGCAATTTTCCTTCTCTTTCATTTCCTCCAGCCTAAACACCTTGGAACTGCTTCTCTCCAGTCCCCAGCTAACAAGGTGGTAATATATACATATACATACATACATGCATACTTACATAGGTATTTATTTATTTTATATATATATATATTATATATATCTCCCACCAAGATGTGAAACACAGGTAGAAAGACACTGAACTTACCAGTGCTCTACTGTGGCTGCTTCCAGACAGCTGTTGGGCTCGCAGAAGTCTCGCTATAATAGTTATAATTTTTCACCCTCTCAGAAGTGCAAGAAAACCTAGATGTTAAATATAAAATAATTAATTTTCTCTTTAACTCAGAGTCTCCAGCTTGAAATGTCATTTTGCTTCATATCAAACCGAACATAAACTGGACTTAAAAGAGTGAGAAATACTAAAATTAGACAGGAGGAATAAAAACAAACACACTGACATGCAACCCAAAATAAATCATTTAGAACTGAGAGCCAATCAGAAATCTAATATCTGTGCACACCAAGATAGAAATATTTAAAAATTAGGGTTTATTGAGATAGAGAAAACAAAATGAAATTTTGAATGTTTTTAATTTTTGTTTCTCAAAACCAGATGCTTTTTACTACATTCTATGTTAAGAATTTTATGGAAGTTTAAATGTATAGAAGTTTTACTAACATATAATTTTTGTAAGTAATTTGTTGGTATAAGTCTTACAAAGAAGGGAAACGCATATATGACAATCTTTTCAAAATGTCACAATAACAGAAACTGATTCAAAAGCATTTTCAGAGCCTGAAAATTTGGCATAACTTATTTTCTTGTGAAGGAAACAAATTTAAAATAGAAGAGGCCAAAGAACAAAATAGAATCAGGGAATGGCCTGATATATATAAAGGCAGAATGAGATTACATAGTTCATGGAGGATGAAGTCAGAGGCACATAGAACAATTTAGAGAAAGTAAATAAAGCTCTGATTTATTCTTACAAATAGTATGAGAGCAGGCAAAAACAGAAAGCAACCAAATTTCAGAAAGGCCTTTGGTTTATAATTAATTTGTGGAATACATTACTACAATAGTTCATCAAGGTTTGGAATGTGGCTAGTTAGATGGTTAATAAGCATAGCCAGAAGTTGTATAGAGTATAAACATATTCTTACAAAGACATAAATTTCATGTCAGCTACATCTTTTTTTACTTTTTATGGGTTGTTGCCAAAGACTATACAGGTTTTCTTGCAAATTGGGAAATAATAATGTACTGCACTTCAATGAAAATACCATTTTTTTTCCTTTTATCTGTTTTGTTTGTTAAGATCTAAATAAAATTATCTTCTGACCTGAAGCAAGACATTTCACATTTTTTTAATCCACTTTTAATAAAGCAATGCAATGTGAAAAAGAGAGAGCCAGTCACTGTTCCAGTGAAACTGTGGAGAGGAAGAGAAAATTATGATAGTAGTGGGTTTTGATGAAGAAGTTATTCTGGCCACCATCCGAGGAGAAAGGAGGTGAGAAGAACCTATCAGTTAAACTCCACACGATAATTCTGTCTGCCCATGTCTCACAACACACTGCCTTCATAGTGGTAGTGTAATTAGGAGCTACCAGTCTCTCCCACCTCCTGTAAATTTGGTATTTTTGGACCTGCCCACAACTTTCGTATCCAATTCCCAATTAATTTTAGTGTTGCAGTGTAATCTGTTCTCATAAAGCCAAATAACAGCTTTAGTCAAGGGTCATGCTGGGACTTAAAGGACAGGCAGAGTTATTGCTTTTCTTTACCTCCCTGTATTTGGGAATAGAGTCAATGGTGTGTTCTTGGATCCTCAGATAGGGCTTGTGAATGGCCAGGGTTGGTAGGAGAGGGTGAATATCCTCACCCAGCAGTAAGAGAGAGAAAAAATGGGCAGACCTGCAAGGTTTTCTAATTCCTTTAGGGCAAATTTAGGTTGAGAACCCAAAACATTTGGGGTTTAATTTTTTAATTTCATCTAAAGATGACACTGGCAGGTGTCTCCAGTTTTGTCTCTCTTTTCTGGACACACTTGGAGAGATAGGGGATATACCGAGAGTGTCACCACCTGTCACAGTCAGCAACTGCTTGGCTGGCAAAAGGCAACTGATCATCTTCAGCCCAAGTCTGTGCCACACGTGCTAGATGCAACAGTGCTGTGGTGGCAAGGAAGAGCTTACAGTGAGGCTCCCTCAGGAGGTATCAGAGCCGATGATGGTCTCCTTCCCACCAGTTACTAGGCGGTACTTTGACCTCCAGGTGCCAAAAAAATGCTTGTACTCTCAGAGCAGATAAAATCCTAGGTGGAAGAATAAAGTGGCCACAATGGGTTTACCAAAGGGGGATGTCAAGCAGTGTCCAAAATGATGCCTGGGAGCATGCTGGAGTAGGGAAGTGTCCCATTTGGGCATCCAGAACCCAGGAAAGCAGGCACTTAGGGTGCAGGTTTCCTTCTCTTGGAACCACAACCAAAGGACGGGGAGCGAGGAAGGGCAATCAAGGGTCCCAGTGAAACAGCAGTGGGCAGACAGAGACATCTGGCAGTGTGTCTGGAAGCATGCCAGTGTGGGAGTAGACTGGCTGCCAGTGCAGCACTTACCAAAAAGCTGAAATCAAAGGGAAAAAAATCCCACACAAATAAACAAGCAAAGGACTTACTTATAGTTTTCTAATATAAAAGCACCAATAAGGGTCAGGTCACATAGAGCCTGGAGAACCATTGCCCATGTGCTCAGTGGCAGGCGTCCCCATTTTCCTGTTTTTGTGCTCCCTATATGTCTATTGTTTTAACAGCAGATGGGAAAAGCAGCACAAGAAAGTTATCTTCCCTCCTTCTCAATAACCTCCATTGCTCTCTGTCTGCTGCCGAGGGGAACTGCAATAGTTAAATAGGGGTGAAATACAGAGGGACTGGCACAGCACACAGTTCAAAAGCAAACTTGTTTCACCAAAGGACTGTTTGCAAGGTCCAGCCATGCCAACAATAGCCTTCCTTCAAGTTCACCTTGTAATGCAGAGAAAGGAGGCAACCTGCGGCCCTCGGGGAGGGCAAGCAATGGAGGGGTGGGAGATGAGGATGGGGACACAGTAAAGAAAGGCAAAGAGGCAGGAGGGAGGGAGGGCGGATGGGTGAAGGTGGAGGAAAAAAAGAGAGTGCAAATCCAAGTGTCGATTTGTAGACACGGTGAGGAGAGCCTGCTGGCTGACAGGCTGATTTATTGGATTCTTCCAGTTAATCACTGCCGGCCTGTGGCCAAACGGATCTCCAGCAAAGCTGAAAGGCAGCTGAGGGAAACTGGCTTATAAGCATAAAGCCGCATAATGGTGTTCAATGAAGTGTGAGACTTTTAGTTCAGTCTCAGTGAGCCGGCCGCATTGCCAGAATGTCAAAGAGGGATTGTGGGTGGAAAAATTATGGATTTAAACTGCTAGCTGTAAATGAGGTCAATATGTCTGGTTCATAAACAGTCTGAGGCTATTCCAAGAATGCAGTGAGGGGGAAAATTAGCGTGAAGCCAACACTGTAGACAAACCTCATTGAGATATAATTGCAGCTATAAATACAAGTGAAAAGCTTACCGAGTGCAATAAAATATAGACACAGCTTTTTATCTCCCTCTCCCCACATATTTCCTTCTTTCAATCTATACATTTGTTAAGTGTTGTGCATCTATAATGTTCCCCCCCCACTCTCTTCTTTTCCCTCTGACACCCAGTGTTGAAATTAATTGAGTGTTCTTGATCTCCCATTCCATTTTATTCAGGCAAGATTGGAAAAAATCAAAAGAGCACATCTAAAGCATTTTCTTCCCTTTTGCTTTTCTATTTGAATCAGGTTGAAATGTGTTAAAAAAAAGGCATTGCAACTTTTTTATATTTAAAAAAATGCAGTAAAATGTCTTTTTAAATGAATACATCTGTTAGATAATTTGAATCTCAATTTAATGAGGTGAAATCAAAGGCAAGTATTGAATCCTATGGAGAGTCTCTTTCGTGAGTTGCCTGGTCTTTGCTCACGAAACATTGACTTTAAATAATTGTGATGTTTCAGATTTTCTTTTTTTTCCCCTGTAGGCCTTTTATTGTGGGGGGGAGGCAGTAGCACCAAAGGAAAGGAGGACAGACACTGAGCAATATGCCTTACCCAGTTTAAAACTGATACAGTAATAAATTGAAGTCTAATGGCTATGGTCAGGCTGTTTTTTCCCCTAAGCCAATTGATTTAAATGGCAGTAATTTGGCTAGCAAGGCTAGTCCTGTTTAAATTAAACCCATTAATATAATAGCACCAGTCTTGAATTAAATCCATCTGTAGCAGAGCCTCCATCGGTCAGTGGTTTAATAACTGTCCAGGGATGTCCTGAAAACACCCACATCCATACTAACAGGAATAAGAGTTTAAAACCAGGATCCAGAAAACCTCCTGTTTCACTTGGATGTAAGAAGCAGACATCTGTTATAGTCAGGGAGGGGAAAATAAAAAATCTTTATTATTCTTTTAGAAACACAACATGCAACTTCTTTATATATAATTTTGCAAACTTCTGCCCCTCCCACCCCTATTCCTCACCCTGGCAAATACTTTTAAATTTGTTGGCCTGCTGATCTATACACATGTTGACCAATGTAAATTTCAGAAAACACTGAAATGTGTCTGAGGATTAGCATCTAATATAGGAAGTTTATTCTTGGCAGAGGCCTTCGCAATGTAGTTAGGATTGATCTTTTAACTTCCTCTCCCCTTGTTCTTGATTCCCACTGTGGCAGGCTGCTATGTATTGTGAGGCAACTTCTTTCCCTACTTGAAGGACTATGCAGGATTCTCCTCGGACCTATTTAATATCAAGCCTTGCCTGTGGGAACTAGAGGATGCAAGTCTTTCATTTTAAAGAAAGCATCTTTGTGCTTCAGTCTCACCTTTGTGAGATCAATAGCACCTTCGAAGTAGTTCTTTTGAAAACCGCCTTATAGTTTTCTCTTTAACAGGCAACTCCACTGTATCAAAAAGACTGAGTTTATTCTATATTTTGCTTGGCTTTGTCCCACTGACTCACTTATCGCTGTTTTAAGCTATGATTCATCGTGCTGGACATCAGTCAGCTTCAGGTGAACTTGTTTGTTTCACTGGACAGGAGATTAGTTTTGAGACTCGCATGTAATAAATGTTATATTTTTGTCTGAACTTAGGTTTGCACTTTGCAGTAGAGGGAATGAATGCTGTTTAGGATGGCATAGCACCACATATATTCTGTATCCTTTTGTGTATATAGCTAAAGAATCCAGATCTTAGAATGCACTCCCAGTTTTTAGTAATTTTCCACAATCCCCTGCCTCAACATCTCTGTACAGACAGCAAAGAAAGAAAGACTGTTCCACTACTGTCTGCGGCAAATGATCCACCAGTAATTCTACCCTGTAACCATACGCTCCTCTGAACTAAAAAGAATGAACAGCACATCCTCAGCTTTTTCCCAGACAGTACATATGAAGCTGCCTCGATTTAAGGTTGCCTGACACTTTCCATTACGAGTCCCTGCTTTCACTCACTTACCACTTTATTTAACTGAACACAAAATTTCTGTGTGTCTATGAACACTTATGGATGGTAAAAGATGGTGAGTTCTAGAGGTTTTGCCATTTAGAATGTACTATATTTTTGTGAGCATAAAATTGTGCCCTTTTACTTTGTCCAGGCTACAGAAAGCTATGGGAACTACATTAGTCATACGCTTTGGTCAGACAAGTTTTGTATGTGTAAAGTGTTCAGAGATACAGAACGTAAAAATCACTGGGATGCCACGGTCCGGGGGGAAAGGGAAATGGGACGCAGCACTGCAATAAGGGTCCGGACACAGGTGAGGGTTCGGGAAGCAAAGCCGATTTATTCAGGGAAAACAGGGGCTTAAATAGGGTAGGTCTGAGGGGAGGATTCAGAACTGGGGAGGAGCATGGGACTGACAACTTAGGGGAAGATATGATAGGGAGATAGGGAAAAAGTGGGTGGAACTCCTGGGTCTCTAGGGGAAAGGGCCAATGGGAGCTCTCTCTGCACTGCAGCAAACTGTAGCCAATCAGTGGCAGAGGAGCGGGAAAGCAGGGGAGGACAGGGTGATAAACAACTTTTGGCGGGAAAGTCTGAGGGAGAAAGGGGGATAACATGGGGAAATAATAAACTTCATAAAAATCCAACAGTAAACTGGGGTATAACAGTCAGTCCGGTAAGTAGATAGTCCTTTCAATTGCCATAAATGTCCCTCCACGCCTTGAATCTTTCCCAATCAGATTTATCGTCCTCTTCACTGGGACGAATTTTTAAGGGTTTAGCAGGCTTGGTCTGTCCATGTTGTCCTTGATCAGACACATAACAGTGTGAAAGGAAAGCCCTGATAATACTTCAGCATTGCAAAAAGTCCAGTTTAATATGCAGGAATCAGAGGCAGAATTTATTAGCTTGGGTTCAGTCCTGAGCTAATCCATGCACAAAATTTCCAGTCAATTGAGAATTTGTGCAGAGCAAACCCGTACCTTCAAGAAACAGACCATGAGGACGCAGCCTTAGACTGCTACCTTAAAGAAGAAAAGATAATTAATTAGATTGAGCAAAAAAACAATTGAATTAAACATATGACCTTATCCCAGAATGATCACACAAAAAATGCTTTCACAAAACTATGTAAGTCATCCGCTATCTCACAATGCAGGACTCTTCAGTCAGGTCAGAAGTTCTTCTATCCTTCGGCAAAGCTGTTCTTAAAGAAATTACCTCAGTCAACATCCAGGCATACATTTCCAGACACATTTCAGTTGAAAAGTCAATATGACTTTTCAGGTCCTTAGAAAAAGGAATTGTATATAAGTGTGAGTTTTGAATCAGTAGCTGTAAGACCACAAGCTCAGCTAGAAGTATTACTTTTAAAAGAATTTAAGACTCCAAAATTTTGCCCACCAAACTTTCGCAGAGCCTTTGGTTCTTAGTACCTTGAGATAGCGTAAAGAGAAGCAGCTACATACTTTTCTCAGGAGACACTTTTAATTTTACAAGGAAATAAGTATTCTGGCAAAAGTTTAATGGGGTAACATACAAACAAGTAGAGCACTCCACAAAGCACTGACGCAGCACACCCCAACCCACACAACTTTGAGAAATCCAACCCACTAGTCTTAAGTTAACCAAAACATTAAGTAAGACAAGAGTAAAGAAAGAAAGAGATTAGGAGAGGAAACAGGAGACAATAGCTACCACCAAAGAGTCCCACGGAAATCTGGCTCCATAAGACAGATGGCAGGACCGAAGAGAAAAGGCAAAATGAAGAACACATGCCGCTCAATTTATGTGCTTTGGCCACCGTGGCTGCCCCTCCTAGGTGGGACATCCCACTGAGCACTCAGAGCCTCTGAGGGGGAGTGAGGGCTGATGTAGCCAGTCAGAGGCTGAGTTAGGGGTTCCAGGCAGTGTGATGGGGGTGGGCTCCCAGGCAGCCCTTTTGATTGACAGCTGCTCCATGAGGCTGCCATGTGAGTTCTGAGGCTGCTGTTCACCACAGGCACAGAGTTGGTTCCAACCCAATAAAAAAATAATACTTTTACTGATGTGGTATCGCAAAAAGCAACAATTGGCAGTAGCTCATATGCTTTGGTTGATACTTTTTATGTCCTCTACTCTTAAGCTTCAGTAGATAGACCAAGACTATGAAACCGAGGGCTTAATAGCACCTCTGAACACTGTCAGCAAGACATGTATATCTACATACGCCAGGTACGTATCCCAGTAATGGTTTAGGGCTTTCAGATGGAACCAGTCCATGACCATGTGTTCTTGCTATGCTCCTCAATTTCATTTAAGTTAATGTAGAAATGCTGAAAATGATCAAATGACATCTTGCAGCAATTGATGATCATTCCATATAATCAATCATTACCAAAGACAGCTACCAGAACATGCAAAACTCTGTGGAATTTGTGGCTTGTTTCTATTAAAGGTACATGATCTTGCAATATAAAGAAAAATGTGTGCTTTTACTATTTAATAAGCTATAATTTCTCTCTGCCACTTTTAAAGCTTTCCGTATATTACACTTTCAGAGAATAAATAAAGTTATCTGTAGGAGACGTGAGTTATCTATAGCAATGTAAGACAAGCTATTTTGTGATATACCTTTTCTGTAAAATTTGCTTTTTGTTTTTTTGAGTCTGTGTTGAGGATGGGGGAAGAACAGTGATCTTCAGTGTTAGTAGCCCTTTGCCTTAAAAAAAAAAAATTAAATATATGATATCTAAAATATTCTCTTCTTACAGACGTTCAGGAAATCTTCCTATAATTTTCTTGACTTTGCTGAATTTTGGTTTGAAAGTCTAGATGTAGACAGAGACCATGGTGATTTGAGACAGTTATTATAAGAACACAAAAACATGTAGTTCAAAAAGATTTCAATCAAACCAATGAAGAGAGGGAAATTATTAAGCAGAAGACAGGAACATCCAGGGCAAGAAGATATAGATTGAACTCTTATTTTAGCCCATTCCTCTTCTTGACTTTCACAAATCTAAGGCCAAAGAGTTGTTTATAGTGCTTAGAGAAATCTCTTGTAAGCAAAGGTACAGTAATTTTTCTTTGATTGAAAAAGTCATCCTTTGTTTGCCATTTTCCTGGAATCTGGAGTCCTAGTGCTTGCACTCCTGTTGTCATTTTAAACAGAGCAGTCAACACAACATTCCCATTTTCCATCAAATTCTACAAGACATCAATGAATGCTAATCAGAATGCTGTAGGGAGCACATTACTATATCTTTGGGGACACTTACCAACTATATAGCCTATCACAAGCTTCCCAAACACAAGATATCACAGGATGATCCAGCTTTATACCACTGGTCTAAAATGCCATTAAAGGCTAGGATATCTCTCCTTCTTTGAAGAGCAAGTGGTAAAGATTTTGCTAAGAATATTCACTTCCTTAATTTTTGGTACTACAGTCTTCCTTAGCTGATGGATAATTTTGTAGTTTATGGTAGCCTATGAAAAGCTTTAGACTAAAATTTTGACCAAAAAACCAGAGCTTACTAAAGTATATGTGAGACACTGACACATCTACAGAAAATTATACTACAGCATTTGGAATACTATTGCATCAAATATCTGTATATTCATGTGTCCAGAATGGGCTTAATGTATTATAAAGAAAATAAAAACAAGCAGAGCAACTCAGCTCAAGAACTCGGTTGTAATTCCTATAGACTCTTTTCTTTAAAGTGAATGTAGTGCACATGAAACATACTGGATTGACAGGGAGCAGGAACCTTGCAGAGAACAACTTTATTTCTACTCAAGGAGCTTGGTTTTGGTATTAGAAAGTCTTCCATCACACAGTGTTTTAACTCACAAGAAATTACCAAATGAGGAAATGATGAATTCTTTCAAATGTTAGCCAGGATTCTATTAACCAAAAAAAATTAGAGATGGGAAAAAAAGAACGATTCATGATGCTATTGTCATTTTATTTTCAATTTATCAGTGATTGTGTCATGCAATGCACTAATATAAATGATAATAATGTGTTGTTATGACTCTGTGTGTCATTTGCATTATGTGACATTCCAAATTTTTCAATTTGAGTGTTTAGAACAGAAAATGTTGTCTTTGTTCATGTATTGGCAAGTACTTGCTGTCTGAGTTCCCTGTAAAAACACATCTTCTGGCATATTTTCAGTTAAAGTTATTCCTTCATTTATTTACTAGAATTTGTGCCCTCAAGCCTTTATAATTATGGGTATATGGCCACATATTAAGACCTATTCATGAATGTACTGTGCAATTCATGTATACCTGAAGGCCCATAGATGAGGCAGTGCTACACACATTAATATATTCTGCATTGTATGTATTCATAAATATAGGGTTTCTGATGGCAGGAAGGACAGCATACTTCATTTTCATGAGTTAGGAATGACTGCATAACTCACAGGCGGTAGAGCAAAACAAAGCCACTAATGGATTCTGTACAGTCATCCCTCCTGGATGAAAATAAAATTCCATTACACTGTCCACCATCACATATTTATACCATATCAGAGACTTATGTCTACAGAGTAACTAAACTTTTTGTTACCCTTTGCTGAAGAAATTAATATCATTGATGAAATATAAAGACATATTGCTGGATTTTATTTCCCACTGGCAGGGTCTAAATATGTATTTCATACAAGTAAACACACACATACGCACACATTAATAATGCGATTGTTTTTCTAGTCCATTTCTGAGAACTACTGCAATGAGTTCATCTGTCCCCTGGATATGATGGGATTTATGCTCCTTAGATTTACACATCTGGGGTTTTAAATCTTTTTATTCTCTGAAAGTGATCCTGGAGTTGCTGCGGTGTATGAAAAACAACACATGCAATCAACTTACAATGAAATAGAAATAGGCCTTTGTCCCTCATTTAGCATACTTACCATCTTTCCCACTTAAAGGACAGCAAACGGTAATTGAAACAATTAAGCCAAGACTGAGACACCCACTGAGACACCTACAATTAAGCCAAGACTGAGACACAACATTTGGAAATAGGTCTCTGTGTTGTTGCTGGATACAAATGGTCACGAATACAGTAGCAGTCAAAGGAAATTTAAAAAATCATCTCTGTGATGTTGTTGAATAGCAGGATACAATAAGTTGCATATAGGAAAATAGTTGTAGATATGGAAAAATTAAATTGCATCATTGTAAATCTCTGTTCTGTGCTTTTCTGCTGTTGCCCTTTCGAATTGACTGTCCTACTACTCACATCAGCAACAAGCCCCTTTTCTATTTCTAAACCTACATACCTATCTCATCTTATTCTGACATCCTAGATTTTCTTTCTTTTAAACAAAGTTCTTACTTTTCTTTAGAAACTAGTATGTATTCGAAAAGTGTCATTAGCCTGGCTAAGTAGATTTTAGAGAATGCGAGTGGCATCTCAAACAAGTTTTTGGCCAATTTTTACGTTTGAAAAGGAACCTGATGGTAAATAAACAGGTGGGACAGAAGATCCAGTTCAGTTCAAAGAAGTCAAACATCGGTTTTTACCAAGCTACTTTTTCTTTTTTTTTTTTTTTTAAACATGAGCAGAAAAATAAAATAGCCAACTCTCTGAAAAATATTTTTCAACAATGCCTTCAATTTTTTTTTTTTCCAAGTTAAAGGGTCATGTCAAATTTGGAGATCTAAGTGTTTGTAACCAGAGAGTGCATACGCTGCCTTAAAAGTCACAGAACTGGACAGCCTTGTATAGCAGGATGCATAACAGTCTTTTAAGATCTTACCAGGAAAGGGTATCTCATTGTAACTAACATATCATCACTTTCAAAACAGATAATTACGCTGACGAAATAACTTTTAATTTGCTGCCTGTTTTTACTGAATGGATGCTCTGCAGCTCTCTGAAACACTGGCTAGACAACTCCTCTTGTTAGTTATCGTGTTTTTCTTCTGCTCACAACTATATTGACTTCAGTGGGATGGTAGGTATTTCTTTACATCAACATAAAAGAGAACAAAACATGTTTTGCTCCACAGATAATTTTTGAACAATATGGAGAAGAACATTTTAGCTTGCACAGGGGAATAAGACAGCACATAACTTGGATAAAAATTGGCTCACCAGCATGAGAAGACACAGAATACTTCTTTTTTATTTTTTTTCATAAAGAGGTCAACATATGTAATCCCATTCTTCTCACTCAGAAAGGAATTGGTTTTTGTAATTTTGGCAATTTTACCACCTCTTATATACTAAAAACCCCAAACAAAAAAAGCATGCTGCATAGAAGTATGTATGGAATATTATCTTCTGCTGAACAAATACTCTAAGATCTGATGCTGTATTTTATAGCAAGAACTTCTGAGGCAATATCAAAGTAATGTTGCAACTATGGAAGTTCTAATGGTATCATTTTTCTTGATCCTGCAGAGTTTCAGTGACATAAACAGATTGGTTCTCTGCCTTCTTGTCCAACAGAGACAGAAAGTAACTTTCAGCATTCCAGAATATTCATGTGAGGGAATTAAGTTTGGCATAAAGAATTTATCCTTTATCCTTCTCCTTTCTGATCTTACTTCTTTTTTCTCTTCTTTTTTGTCAAGAAGCAATTTGGTTTGCAGAAATAGACTGGTTTAATAAAACTGGTATTCTTCCTTCTACTAAAAGTTTACCTGCGAGAGCCCCAAACATAATAAAATCAGATTATGAAGGCAATCATATTTACTTGTAATAAATCAAATCTTGCAGACATCAGTTAAGTCTCCCCTACTGCACTGGGGCAATATCACACATGCATACAACAATACCTGAGATGTCAGAAATATATTTCATAAGTTCAGAAAAATTGCATACACACTTGCAGCACCATTATAAGCAGTGAAGTTGTAATGTGAACATTATGATGTATAAAGTGGCTTTGTTCCTCCATTTAATAAGTACCACATGCCAAGCCCACAAATGTAATGGAATTTGCTGGTGATTTACCATTAGATATAGGATATTGTTTTCAGGAAGACAACTTTTCCACACTTTATCAGCAGTATCCAATTTTAAGAAGCCATCTTCTTTCTCTTCTCTGAATGCAGCACAGTCTTTAGATTAGTGAAATAAAATAAAATCCCAGCCAGTGATATACTCTATTAAGTTGAACTAAAGTAAGTGCAAGACATTTCCACTTGCAGAGAAAATGTTTCCTTCAAACTATGTCTGCCGAATATACATCTTTATTATTCTAGTTTTGGTATAGGTTAGGATGCTGGAAACGTCTTACTAAGGTACTCTATGCCAGCCCAGCATAAGAGCCGTGGTATAACAGTCATGCACACATACCGAGTATTTTCTGTTGTTTTCTGACTTCGTAAGATTCATTGACACATCACAGATATTTTCAGTCTAAACAATAAAGAAGAACACTTTTTTCCTTTTTTTTCTTTTAGAAATTGATAAATGGAGAAGACTTGTATTCCAAGTCTCTGTTGATGTACATTTAGATGAAGAGTAAGTAGCTTCTTTCTGCACTTCAGTATTGCCCATTAGAAATATTTTACTGAAAGTGTCCTGGTTCTGGCCAGGACAGGGTTAACTTTTTGCAGCAGCCAGAAGGCAGCATTGTTAGGACTGGTGAGGATATTCTATGCCTTCTCACATCATTTTTCAGGGATGTGTGAAGGGATCCCTTTCAATCAAGTAAATGTGGTGGAGGGAGTGGCCATATAGCACCGGTTCCCTCTGTTATTGATAGTGTATCTGTTACTGTTCATTTTCTTATTCCATTGCAGTTTTCCAGTAATTTGTTTTTATCTCAACCCTTGATCTTTACCCTTTGTGACTCCAATTGTCCTCTCCATTCTGCTGCAGCACGAGGGGGAGGGGGAATAAGCGAGTAGCTCACAGTTTAGTGTTTCAGTGGGAATACTAAATTGGGGAATACCATTCCTAAACCACAACAGAGGGTAAATTGCAGTATTTGAATATCAAGTGACAGACATCTTGAATACTGGACCATGGAAACAACTTTCCTTGAACAACTCTACCTTGAGTAAAAAGTTCTTTAACATGTACACTTAAAAAAATCCCTGGGGACCACAACTCTATGAGGTGACCTGAGCCATTAATATTTACTAAGACAAAAGGAGGCTGTGGACAGTTGGACTCTAAATTTTTGCTGGGTTTATAATGGGAATAAAGAAGTAGTGTGCTATTTTCTTCCTCAAAAGTGCTGGTTTGCATTCTCCTAATAAGACCATTCACAGTTTTGTAAAGTTTATTAAATGTTGCAACTTTTTCTCAAGCAAGTTTACTTTGTAGTATTTGTGTGTTTCCCAGCAGAGCTCATAAGATCAAATTTAATCTGTAAAGGTTCATATTGCCAATGACTTCTTGTTCTGTTTTTGCTTCCCTTCTCCATATGAAATTGCTTGAGGGTATGTACAGCTCTGTTCTCTAACTATATATATAAATATATATATATATATATATTTTTACACTGAGCAACGTTAAAGCAATCCATTATTTAAAAGAATTGGTAAACTTTATTCCTAGAAAGACACCGTCTCTGAACCCCAGTTCCTCTAGTTTAAGTCTAGATTTCCACAGGCATTTGTTTAAGGTAACATTTGTCAGTCCACATTCCCTGTTCACCACACAGCTGTCTTTTGGAGCCACCATTCCTTCTCCAGTGCCCCCTCAGCTGTCCCAACACAATATTTGCACAGTCTGGTATAAGGGAAGAAAACATGATTTCAGATGACCTTGAGAAGTTTCTGATATTTGGCTGATCATTTTCCCAGCTAGATACACCATTCTGGCACAAGTGAGACAGGGAGGAGGAGAGGAGCTACTTGAATTGTACTTGTCGCTGGCAGGAGCACCCAGGAAACATCTCACCATGGATAACATCACTGTCTGAAACAAGCAAACATGAAAAAACATGCCACTGTGGTATCTGTGGTTCTTATTTATGTGGTGAGCTTGGGTACAACGCAAGAAGAGACAAAACACATGAAAAAATTCCAGCTTCTGTTTTGAGAAAAACAACAGATCACATCCTGAGAACTTGAGAAAAAAGTAAAAAAATGTAGGAATAATGAAAATACAATAAAGTCTTAAACACATTTTCAGGTCTAGTTCCCTTGATTCATAAGCGTTGATAAATTTCACAGCACTTCCGTGAAGCATTACATTGCCAGAACTACATATAATGTTTTAGGTAAAATTTGGGGTTTTTTTGAAAAGTTCAGATTTTGAAAGACAAACATTCTACTGAGAGATATTTAAAAACTAACTCCATTAGTTCTTAAAAACTTAAAATTTTTAGTTTGGCCTTACTAAGTGTAATATTAGCAATTTTAAAAAAAATTCCAAAATCTTGTTTAAATTTTTAGTATTTAATTTAACATTATAGGGTACATTTAAATATTCAAAATCTAGGTGAAATATCTAAAGAAGCATTTAAAGATCATTTTGATCTTCTTTTTTTGCTCTTTAACTTGTTGAAAATATGATCTAATTAGTCCATTATCTTAAAGGAGTACCAAAGATGATGTTATTATTACCATACAGATTTTACAAATGAAAAATCAAGATTCATGGAGAACAGAGCCAAAATGATTGAAGAGTCCATCAGTACGGTGTAACCAACTTCAAACATAGTGACTTGCTTTTCCAGAGTATTTAGCTTTTTAAAAATACTAGTTCCATCAATTCAGTTGCAGATGTGAGCATTCAGATTCAGCATTTCTAGGAATCAAGATCTAGGAATCTTAAATTAGTATCAGAAAATGAGGAAAATACACTCAATTAAACCCATGGAGATACGGTGATTCTAAACTCTTGTGCAAGATCAAATACGAACTCAGAGAAATTTAGAATAAGATGTTCATTGAAGGACAACTATCTCTCCCCTCCCCTCTCCCTTTTCCCCTTCCCTTCCCTTCCCAAACCTTCCCTTCCCAAACCTTCCCTTCCCAAACCTTCCCTCCCCTCCCCAAACTTACTCAAACCTTCCCTTCCCAAACTTTCCCAAACCTTACCTTCTTTTGGGCAAGGAGGTGTTCTTCCATTGCTAGGATAGCAGGGCTTCATCACATGCAATGGTTATGTGGGAAGACTAACTCCATTACTCCAAATATGCCCCTTTTCCTCTTTCTTCCCACTAACTTTATATCCTGTGCATGATGTCACATGATCTGGAATATCACCTTGGTCCATTTGAATCACCTGTCCCAGTTGTGTCCTCTTCCAGCCTCCCATGCACCCCCAGGCTCCTTGCCAGCATGGCAGTACGAAAAGCAGAAAAGGCCTTGGCCCTGTGTAAGCCCTGCTCACAAGTAACAAAAACATCTCTATATTATAAACCACCTTGTAATTGCTCCAACAGGAACAAGCAAGGTTTCACCTTTCTCTGGGCAAGAATCAAATGGAGGTGGAGTGTCACATGGACAGACAAAGAGGGAAGTAGGGATTTCGTTTCCCTATCTGTCCATCGACATAAAGTACATTGAAAGTGAGCGTAACTTCCTTTCAGCAGTGAGAAAATCCTTCTGTGAAAGGCGGTGCCTGTGCAAAATAATATAATAATAAAAGACATCTGGTCATCACTGAGGAAAGAACAGAAGAAATAATGAAAACTACATCAAGATTGAGTTATTTAAAATTTCTCATAGGTTGACATACTTCACTTCTTTTTTCTTTGTCTCGATAAGGACAAAGGGGTAACTAGCAAATTCAAAATCATTTCAATTCATCTTGCATTAATAAATAACTTGATTCATTAGTCCTTCATTTTATATCATCTGATGATGATTGGAATCAACACTATCAGAGTTGTCTACTTGATAATGTTCCAATTGGGTTTTTTTCTCTATATTACTATGAATAGAAAACAATAATAAAATTCTGGCTGAAAGCAGCCACTCATAGTTTCCCTGTGGAAACACCACAGAGAATTTACAGCCTCTGGACTTGAAAATTCCTCTTGTCCTGCAGGAAAAATTCTATTGCATAATGTCATTTTGCTATAAAATAAATGAAACATTTCCTTCCTTTAGGCAGAGATGAATATTAGAGTAAAAAGTGTAAGCTTACAGAATCGGTTTTTCATTTAACAGAATTCATGCCTTCTTTCCATTAAAAGAAATTAATGCTATGCAGAGTTGGAATACATAAAGCTGTAAGAAGCCATGGTATGCGTCATTAAGACAACCAGAATAAAAATATTGCAAGGAGAGAGATATGCTCTGTGGACTTACAGTTTAGGTGCCATGTGCAAGTGGCTTTGTCTCTGAGATAGAGTTGGGAAGAGCTATTGTAAGAATTGAATTAAAACACTGAAACTGAAAGGAGTTATTGGTCTGGGCAGAGGGAATTTCAGGATAAATGCACAGGCATTTTCGTATAGCAATAATATGTCAATGCACTGAAATTTACGGCTTACTACTCTAAGCATCCACACAGCAAATGCTCTTGAAACAAAAATGATAACTTGGGATAATGGGAACTTGAGCACAGGGCAATTACAGTCACCAATGAAGTAAACCAGCACTCAGAATTCAAGACTTAAATAAGCTTTTTTGGGAATGGTCCAAACCTTTTACCCAGAAGACTTGCATATGAAAACAATTTGGGAAGCTGATCCTCGCATCCTCTCAGCTGTTACCTAGTAACTAACTGCATGAGTGCTTCTATTCTGCTTTAGAGCAGAGCTGCACAGCCTAGCTCAAATGGCTCTTCCAGACATCCAGAAAGCCCAGGCAAGTCAATGGCACTGACACGTAACCAAGGCATTTGGTGGATGCTCAGGAAGGAGCATACATGCAGAAAGTATTGAATTCCAGGAAATTCCAGGGAGAAGTATTTGATTCTTATTATCAGGAGGAAATTTCTATTGTGGAATCAATGTTGCCTAGCTCAAGGCAGTGATTAATTGCTTCTTGGAGAAAGCTGTCACTATCCTTCAGCTGCAGAGATGTAGGAGCTATTTATACCTTCTCATCAGTGGTCATCTTCATCAGCAGTGATTGCTTATTTATGGAGATAAGCTGCCACTACTGACCAGCTGCTTCACGCTATGGCTACTCCTGTAGATAAGCAATCACAATAGAGCAATAGATCATTACTGAAACTGCAAATGCACAGGTATTTACAGCAATAAATTTACCACATAGCAGTATCTAAATATGATCAGATGGTACAACTGCCATATCCATATTCCTCTCTAAATTTTGTTCTTCTATCCCTAATCTTCCTCCTTACCCCTCATTTCAGCATCTTCTAACTGTCTTAGCTATCCTTTCCAGGCACACTCCTGCCCATGCTTGTGCTGCCATCTCCCTAAGCCATGCCCAGCATGTGAGAAGCCAGAACCCTAGGCAAGCTGGTGTCAATGCCTGGTGCAGGGGATTCAGCTGGATGGCTGGGGGCAGACAGCCTCCTCTGGAGGTCCATGGAGGCTATTGTGTACTGGGGGAGGTGAGAATGCCAAAGACTGTGAATGGGTGCAGTACTTTGACCAGGACCCATATGTCATGGCACACATAACACAGTTATTCAAGCAACATCCTGGCAAAATAGTGTAATTACAGCTGCCATACTCAGTGTTGTTGGGTAATTGCCTAAGCTGGTGGCCACAATGAGTTCAGAAGACCAGAGACATCAACCAGCTTGAACACGTTTGCCTATGACAGTGTACTTGTCTCTTTTGTTGTACTTGTAGACAATATTTACTGTTTGGTCCTAACCTTCATTCATTCAGAACCTGATTGTAACTTTTTTTTTAATTACTTCTGTTTTATAGTTGAGACTCATCTATTTGTAGACCTGGCACTTTTAGGAAATGACCTGAAGAGTTTAAAGTTTGTTCCCAAAACTAGTAAAAAATTTAGAGTTAGAATCATAATTTACACAAAATCCTGTTAAAAAGTTACTGCTGTGTTCATAACCATTTGTTATTGCTGTATTATCATTCCCAGCTGCCTGTACTTTTAAGAAATGAATAAGTTTTGTCTTCCAAAATCTTAAAAATAATTGCCTTAGTCATGGTGATGAATTCTGCCTATGCAGTCCTCACATATCTCAGAGCTTTTTTGGACTTGACCACTCCAGAACTGAACAAGAAAATGAGCTTTTGACACTGTTGGATAATTACATGGTGAACATCTTCAGGCAGACAGAAAGACAATGTTGCTCTTTCCTCCAAGATGGTTTGATGTTTTGCTATTGATTTAATTCAGTGTGGAACAAACCTGTTGTCTTTTATTTGTCTGAGAGGTGTCATGAACAATTATTATATTTAATAAGTAATTGCCTAATGTTAAGTATATCATGTAACCCAGCTAATTTTCTACAAGTCGCCCTCTACCTTTTGAAGGCTTTTATTTTGGCAGTTTGTGTCTTTATTTCTTACTTTTTTTCTCCTGAATTCAAAGGTTTCTTTTTCTAGATACAGGTTTGTTACAGATTTTTCTTCCTTATAGTCCATTATTTAAATAAGCTTTCTTATTCATTACAGTTCTGGCAATAAACAGTGTTTCCCTGTTTCTCCTTTATCTCCTCTGGATGTGGTTACAATGGTTCAAATGGAGACAGACAGACTTTAATATGGTTCTGACACAATTTTCTTAGTCAAGAGGTAACACAAACCAGGTGTGGTGGTTTGGACCTTGGTTTTTCCCCCAGAGGCTGAAAAGTGGTAGACCCCAAGGGGTGGAAACCCCTGGATGTTTTGAAGTTTTGCCCAGTGGGCGCTCCTGCAAAATGTAAACATATCTCAAGCTCACTGGAAGAGATGAGTTGTAGTTTTGGTGGTTGGTGAAGAAGTAGCCATGTTGTGAGCCACGAGGTAGGGGCTCTGAGCCCCTTGGGGCCTCTGGCCCCCTCCCAGCCCCTGGCTGGGGGAAGATTGCAGAGACTTGGAACAGTCTTAGATTGGGCTAAGTGTCTGTAGTATGCCGGGAGATGTTTTTCTCCATGGGCGCAGAGCAGCAGCCGGCACTGACCAGAGAAACGGTGGCAGAGAGCCAGGACAGATAAGACCTGAACCGGAGAGAGAGAGAGAGAGAGCAGCAGAGCTACAGAGTTTGGGGTAAGACTGATACCAGACCC